AATGCAGACAGTCTCAGAGGCCTAAATTATAACAGTCTCCCTGAGCAGCCCTCTGAGCCACAGTGCTGCACAGAATCTCTGGGCTGGTCTACACTGGGGGGGGGGATCGATCTAAGATACACAACTTCAGCTATGTGAATAGCGTAGCTGAAGTCGAAGTATCTTAGATCGATTTACCTTGGGTCCTCACGGCGTGGGATCGACGGCCGCGGCTCCCCTGTCGACTCCGCTACCGCCGCTCACACCGGTGGAGTTCCGGAGTCGACGGGGAGTGCATTCGGGGATCGATATATCGCGTCTTAATGAGACGCGATGTATCGATCCCTGATAAATCGATCGCTACCCGCCGATACGGCGGGTAGTCTGGATGTACCCTATGCAATGTTGAATCTCAACCCCTGACAAATCCTCCAGTCATGCCCTCCTGCTCCAGGGCTTTGGAGGGGGGGCCTCAGAAGGCAGTCTTATGACTGTCTTCCTCAGTTCCTGTGCCAGGGGTATCCTATCCTGGCCAAATAAGAGCCTCTATACACTTTTCTGACTCTTTTAGAGCCGCTATACACTTTTCTGACCCTTTTACCCAGCATAAAGGACCAGAGCATGGGGTGTCACCCATTGTAACTTTGAAAATTTCTTTCTGGAGATGTGACACACTATGAGCTCCCTTCTCAGGGGGAGCTTTGAATCCAGATCCTTTCCAGATGACCTAGCTCTGTGATCTTTAATGGCCATGGTTAACTCAACAATCTGCTTCCCGACCAATGAGTTTTATGTCAAATATACAGTTAAACAAAATGTTCCTAATTCTTTTAAATTTGATGGTGTTTTAGATTTTCTATGGCCCTTGTCACTGTAGTATCTGAACATCTTTCAATATTTATGAATTTAGCCTCACAATACCCTTGTGAGGTACAAAAGTGTTAATCAACCTCATTTTATAATTTGGGAAACTGAGGTGCAGAGTGGCTATGTTCTTGCCAAAAGCCACACATGGAAGTCTGGGAAAGAGCCAGGAATATGATCCCAATCTCAGCTCCCAAACCTGTGTCTTGGCCACTAGACCACCCTTCCTCCATCTTGATGTTGATGTAACATCACGAGTATAGTTCAGTTTGAAGTGTCAGATAGAGCTGTAGCCAGCAATCTGCAACTTCTGAGGAGCTAAGGGAGTGGGGGTGAAGGGAACAAGGGTTACATTCCTAATGCATCAATTAATCCTGCTTATTTGAGGATATTCAGCAAATCATATTAAAGCTGCTTGATTCTTGAATTTTATATTTGCAGGTCACCTTTGTCTACAGTGCTGATACATATAATAATGTTTTATGGCTCTCATAAGCACAAGGCATACAAACTCTATGTCTAAGGTAAGTTAATTAACATTCTTTATGGTATCCCTCCCTAAAAAATATTGCACACGTACAGAGAAATACTCAGTATCTAACTGAAGGCTCAATTCTGTCTGTAAGGCAGTCCTGAGTAAGGGATGCTGCAGAGCACAGCAACTTTTCAGAGGGAGCTCGGGGAGAAAATCTCTCCCCGAGCTCCCCAGTGCACAGGCAGACTGTGCATGCTCCACTAGCTCTTAACATAGTGGAGTATGCTCCCTTCTCTGCATCTGGCCAGTGGGGGACATAGCCCCACCTCCTCCTTCCCCTTCTGGGGCTGGTTCACTCCTCTGAATTCAGAAACTACAGTTCTGTCTGCACCTTCTGAGGAAGGACTCTTGTGCACCACCCTTCACAGCCCCTTTAGTCCTCTTGCAGACATGCAAGGCTGGGCTCAATCTAGCCTGTATTACTATATTACTAGGAACTATATATATATATATTCCCTCATTGGCATTTGAGTCGTTGTTCTAATGCTTGTAAGTGACAAAAATCTATAGGAGTTACAAAACGCAAATAATTGTATTAATTATTTAGCTTTTTTCCTTTTTGGCTCTTCAGCAGTATTTGTCCTACAGATCAGCATTACAAAACTGAGTTGAAGTAAAATCCAAACTGACAGGTAGCCCTTACTCATGCAAATAGTCCCTTTGACTTTAATGGGACTTCTTGTGTGAGAAACGTTTACAGGATGAGACCCTATAACAATTAATAGATTTTACATGGAAAGGTTGCCAAAAATTCGTATTTAGTCAATAGTACATGAAGATTGTAACAGGCAATCAAACAGTATCATATAATGGATTTTTTGGGTGAAATTAGTGATTTTATTAAGCAAAGGTTGTTCACATGCATGTAACTTTCAATCAGTAATAGGCAAATTAAAAGTTAAAACACGTGTAAAACAGTAGTTTAAATACTGAATATTGAATATTCTTGATTTTGCCAGTTTGTCTTAAAAGCATAGTGTTTTTTTAAAGTTTTCTGCATTTATATTTCTTTTTTATAATCTTTTATGTAAGGTTAAAAATGTGTATTATTCACCTGATAGACTTTTTGAATTTTCCTAATTTGCATTTATCTTTTATACCTGCCATGTTGGAATGGCTACTTTGTGATCTGTATTATGTGCATATTTATAGCCTGTGTTAAGTGCATGCTTATACATTTTTTTTTAAAAGTGCATTATTTAATACCCTGCAATTGCTAATATCATGTATAATATTACATGTACAGTGATATTCAATACTATACAGTAATATCATATACACTATTAAGAACTACTATACATATATAATAGAAAATCTTATCAAAAGTAATTATACATGTGTAGTAGTTATCTTTAAAAATTAATATCTTGCCAGCTTTACTTGCTTTTATTCTCAAAATACTAAGTATATGACTCTGTTATGGAGCATTAATGCAGGACTTGAAAATTATATTAGATACTACTAACTGGTATTAGTCAGAGGACTAAATCCACAAACCAGAAATAGATACAAAAGAGGGGGACAGGGAAGAATGGATGAAAGATGGGGCTCCCTGCCATAACCAGGTACTAGAAATGAGAAGGTGTATAGACATTTCTATAAAGATGTTGCATATAGTTGCCAGTCAATAGGAATCATAAGTTTCACCCCTTTCTAGCTTCTGGAAGAGAAAAGGGAGGTTTCTGTCCCTTCTCCACTTTTCGAGAGTGTTGTGGCTTCTATGAGAGGGTGGTTGAATCTGTGCTACTTTACTTCTCCCTCAGCCTCTATTCCCTATTCCCCTACCCCATTCTGATGTTAATAGTTTTGCCAGACAGGGACACCAATATGATATTGACATTACTGACAATTTCACAGTTAGTCATAAGACTCTGGACTACAGATGTTCATCTCTGCAGAGCTTTGTTAATTTCACTTTGCTACTACTTGACAAAGTGATGAGCAGCAGCAGAGGCATTGGAACTGTCTTCCTGCAGACCCAGGAGGACAACACCGCATCATTAACCCTCCAAATATGAACTATGGTAATATTCACAACCTAGAGAACAGAAGTGTACTTTATTTTTTAAATGAAAGCTGCAGATATTAATGGCTTAAGCTCCTATGCTCACCAGAGAATTTTTTTTTACTCTCATTTGGAAAGTGGATGAATAGATTTTCCAAGTGCTGCATTAATAACACATAATGGACTAAATGTATTATTTCAGTAAACAAAAGTGAGATATAGAAATAACCTGACTTAGCTTTTGTTTTAAAATTTAGAGGTATATTCTGTCCTGTTTCAAATACAAAAATCTCATTGATGAGAAAAATATGACCCACAATATTTGCTACCTAATAGCTAAAATTAAAGGAGAACTAGAGTTTTTTAAAGTAATAAATGTGTGTTTGTGTCAGATGCCCCAAATAGTAAGGAGTGGAGGGGCATTTAACAAATAATTAAATGTAACAAATATTTTCTCCCCTATTTCAGGTACTCTGAAATTGCATGGACTTACTGCCAACCACTGTAAAGTCATGGCTACCACTGAACCTTGCTAGAGCCTGGAGCTGATGCATAAGGGCTCAAGTATATGACTTTCATTATATGTCATGGGTTTGTAATTTTTTTTGCACAACCATACTGTTAAATAATAATAATTCCTGCCACTTACTGGCACAATTCTTGACCAGAATCACAGTAGCTGTGATGTTGCAGCAGATCAGCGGTCCACTGACACAAATTTTAGAAGTCTAAAAAGGGGAATGAAAGGGGAGATTAATTTGAAATTAGTCATGTGCTGAATGTCCCCCTTATGCTTATTTAGCTGAGGTAATCACAAGAAAAAAAGTAACTCTTTTAAAAAATAAAGTTTGTATTTTTTAGAAAACTCCCAGAGTATTATCTTGTATGAACTCTGAACATTTTGTATTTTAACATAAAAGTAATTAAAAATTACACACTGTACATATGGAAATACAGGTTTGATCCTCATAATGAATTAATACAATTTAGCTTTCTTTAATGTGTATGCTACAGGGCGGATTCTAAATTCCAGTGTATTTTTTACATTTAAAACAAATGAGACTATTTATGAGCGTAGGGATATATATGTGTAATACAGAAAGTATGCATATTTTATTTACTGAACACTAGCGCCTTCACACAACCTATTTTTTGTTGACATTTGTTTATTTTCTCTGGGAGAATGACAGATCTGCAGCACAACATAATACCAATCCAAAGGCCAGAGTTTCAGAGCAGACTGGATTTCAGGTAAATAGAAACTGATCCCATAGTGACAGTGATGGCCCCACACTTCCTGCTTCAGCTTTTGAAAGACCTCCCCACCAGCTAAGTCATTAAATCACTTCTTGTTTCCAGACACTGACAACTTTGGAATTTATTTTACACTGCTACTATTCAGACTACTTACAAGGACAGAATGAACTGTTCTAGGCCCAGATTCTCTGATGCACCAAAGCTCTGGTAAATGTAGCAGAATTGGGGAGCCATCCAGTAGCTGGTTATAGCTCTCTGATCTCTGCCCAGCCATGTCTCTGGTACAAGTTTGAGCACCCTAGGGGCAGCTCTAATTTACCTAAGCTGATATTTATCCCTAATTGACTGTCCACCAGCTGGAGTGCAGTGATCTTTAGGCATATTTCCTAGGATGGTGTTGCAAAAGTAACCTATGATGGCTCTTTGCCTGCTGGGACTTACCCACATCAAGGGAATCCTCAGCAAGTGAGATAAAGGGCAGTTTTCATCTTTTTGTCCCAATTCTCACCCGTTTTTTTTTAATCAAATTAGGAATTATGAAATGCTTGGAAAAGAGCACATTAGATTTCTTATGAAGGTATGTTAACAAGAAAATAACAATAATTTACCTAATTAAGTATATGCTGAAAAATGTACAAAGTTATCTACTTGGTTAATGAAAGTTAGTGTAGTGTCATTGATAGTGTGTTACCGTTATACCATAATCTGAAAAGGTGTATGTACTCCAATCTTGTGCAATAAAACATTTGGAAAACAACAAGGCTTATAAAAATGTAACCTTATTAAAAATATCTAAAATTTGAAATCCTAAATGTGAAATTCTTGCTTTCTTGTGTAGAGGAAATAGAGCAAAGCAATATAACAGAGAAAGCTAGCAGGACAAAGGAGATACTATTGACTCATTCCAGACTGCCAATTTAGCAGCTCAAACTTAACTTCCTTTTTACTTTTGTAACAGTAGGGAACTCAAAGCTTTTCTGTCTATTTTCTGCACAAATAGAAACACACAAACTTCAAAAAGTAATAGACTACTTTGAAGAAACCAAAACCATCAACAAGTTAAAAACTGCATGCACCACTAAACTGAAGTCCATGATTCTTACAGTTTCCAGTGGGTAAATGTTTATTATTTAGTTGTATTTTTAGGTTACTGCACTAGAGGGAAAAAAAAGTTTTTTTCACCAAATATCACTGTCTGTAAAACACTTTTTGTTGTTTTTAGTGTGATATGGATTTATTGACTTTGCAGTGGGTAAGTACTACTTCAGTATTTTGACAAATTTAAGAAATGAAAAATTGCCTTTGATGTCTCAAGTATACATTGCAATATTTTGGTAATCTTATAATGTTCAAATGATAAAACAGGAAAAAATAAGATAGGATATGAGGATTAATTTTTGGACTCTGTATTCAAACATGCTTTTCTATTATTTTTAAATGTTTATTTTGTGCAGAGATTAACTTTTGAACTAAGGTGTACCATTTATTGTCCTCTGTCACAAACCTACTATGACTGGCCAGTAAATGTCATTGTTCCTATAATTTGTATAGTAAGAAATACAGTATCAAAAGTATATTCCTAGGAATTTCACAACACTAGGATGGTTTACTGTGTGTTCTACCTTGTTCATATAAAATATTTGAGACAGCAGTTTAGCTGTTTTTTGTCCAGAAATAAAACTTAAATCTCTTATGATAAATTGCTTCCTGAACATACAGTGTTTGTTTAAAATGTCCAGTGTAAATTAATCATCATTATGTAAAGCACCCAAACATGGTATTAACTGTGATACTAAGGTAAACATTTCAAATGTTAGAAATCTAGTTTTACAACAGAGCTACTTTACAGTAAGCAATACTTTTAAATCTAGAGGCAAAACAATGAATTTTGTACTTGTTTATTATTAAATCCTGAACTGTATTAGTACACCTGGAGCTTTTAAAATGCACCACCTGTGATTCACATTTCCTTTAACATATTACCAAAAGACAGACATGTTGGGTGCTATCAGAATATATCTCAGTTATGAAGATTTGTGCAAAGCCTGAGTGACCAGGTTTCTTTTTCTTGTTATAACAGAGGTAGGCTAAACAAACAGAACTAGCATGTAATGAAAAGCTCCACTTATCATAGATTTTGCTATTTTGAAACGACTGAAATTAGATCATTTTAAAATCATGATCGAGACTCAGTAAAACAGGGCCCAGTTAGAACCCATCCCCAGAAAAGCTTCTGTGTGCCTCTCAAAAGTTTGCTTATCGATTTGAGAGCAGAATCCCACCCTTATTGAAAGACAAACCAACCAACTCCAGTATTGTATAGGAATGACCCCAAACAGCGGTACGTTTAGTGGTTTGGACTATACTGTAGCACACTAGAATTCTTTCCTTATGCTGATGGCTGCTATTTAATAAACGATGCAGGTTTTATGGGTAACAAGTCCCTTCGTGGCTGTATTGTCCGACCTATTAACTATTCCTTCTGCCAAGCTGTTGCCGCTCAGTTTCTGGGTGTTGGGAGCCATGTAATGGAGACACATGGAAGGTGGAAGTGATATAGGATGAGGGAAATTGGCCCATGAGTTCCAGAGGCTACTGCCAGGCTACAGGCTCTGTCCCTTGTCTTGCTTGTGCAAGACTGGCTCTGGTGTCTGTCCCCTCCCTAGCTAAACAAAACCGCTTGTAACTCCTGAATGTTATTGCACAATGGGAGGAGGCTCCTTTTCAACAGGGCTGGTCAGTGTCTCCTCCCTCTTTCGCCCGCCCTCCTGCTGGCTCTCTGGAAGGAAGTGGGGATCACTGGGCACTTTCCTCTTGGGGTGCTATGGAAGCCTGAGCCCTCATCGTCCCTTCATACTGCAGAGCGGCTTCCTCCAGGATCCAGGGGAGGGAGAAAGGTGGGAGGGAGCCAGCGGAAGGGCCCGCCGCCTGCTGTTGTCAGGGTGGCGGTGACTTCATTCTTTTCTTAATATAGAGTCGGTTGTCAGGCTCTGGACAGAGCCGGGCTGGAGGGATTGGCTGTCAATCACATGACGTCACAATACGCTTGTGTGAGCACTGTAAACACTAGATTCTGGTCATTATAGCTCTATGTGTGAGGGCGCGCGCGCCTGGGCTGCTTGTCTCCCTCTGTGTGCCTGGGACCGACTCAAGCACACTGCTCCCTTCCCCTCCGCTTTCTGTGAGAGCAATGTCGTTGCCTCCATGATCTCTCACGGTGTAGAGCTCCAAAGGTAACATAATTGGAGGGGGATGATGTAATTCTCTCCCTGGCCAGTAGCTGCCTACGCTTGCACCGATCCCCTAGTTACTGGGGAGGGGGTATATCAGCACAGTATTAGCTGCCCCAACATGCCGTGCAGATTGGGGGAGGCTGATCCCCCAAGCAAGAACAAATGCACTCCCTTTTAATCCGGAGTGGTGGTGAAAAGGTGGAAGATCCTCTCTGTCTTCAGCTCCGGCAGCAGATTGGGTAGAGGCGAGCCCAGTACGGCGTGTGTGTGCAGTAAACACGCCGATGAGCTCTGGCGGTAAACAAATCTCCTACTAGGCTTTCTAACACAGCAACTTGCTTCAGGCAGCTCCCCCAACACACGCACGCACGCACACACATTTCCCTTCTAACAAAAGCCTGTTTAATATTGGTTAGTGCGTCAGCTTTTGTTCTGTAAGCGGCAGTAACTATTCCTATTTTTATAACCTATTGTAATATGTGACAGTTGATATCCCGACTAACCCAGCTCCTCACCACACACACACACCCCTACAGTATGAGACCCACGTACAGTCGCATGCCCCTCCAGTGCAGTGACAACAAACCACTATGGCTTAGCTCTCGGTCTGAAATCCCAGTCCCTCTTTATTTCCTCTGTATCCTTCTGCCTTTCTATTGTAGCAGATAGAAGAGGAGGAATCCCCCCCCCCAAAAGGAAATATCTGAATTGCACTTACTGATCTGTCAGAGGAGGAAAAACACCCTTCTCACTGTAAAGCAAAATAGCCAGTTGCAGGACGCTGCCAGTATGATGAGAAAGCGAAGAAAAATCTTCCAATAGCGAGATTACCCCTAGATTCGGCTGTTTAACCAGAAAAAAAATAAAAATAACAACCCCCCTGTTGCCTTTTTTGTGCAGTTTCAGCAAAGCTGCGAGGAAGTTGGTCCTTTTGTTCCACTATTTATAGATTGCGTCAACATTGCGAAAAGGAGAAGGCGGAGCAGTGGCACTTACTCCTCCGCGAGAGAGGGAGAAAAACCCTGCACACACGCGACCTTAAGTACACAACACTACGACCTCCTCCTCTCCTCCTCCTCCACTACCCCACTGAGCAGCGCCAGAGATCAGATTCAATCACGTGTCTGAGGAGAGCACCAGCCTGCCCAGTGCCTGCTTAGTGCTGCCTTGCCATGCACAGCAGCAGCAGAGAGAAGCTACTCTCCCCGCTCGCAGGGACTCTGGAGCTCGCATCCAGGTTATGCTTTATATGTGCAGAGGAATGGATTTCCCTCCGTGTCACCCACTAAGCTATTACAAGTGCATGCCACAGTGCCCACTGCTGCCACATCTATGTTCTCCATTGCCTCTCATGTTTATATATTTGAATATACTCTTCTTTTTTACTACAAAAGAGTTCTAAAGTGAATTTGTTGCAACCCTACCATTGCAAATTCGCAGGAGATTAATACGCAGGAAAGGGGAAGCAGCATTGCTAAGACCCAGAGAACACTCCTTCTGCTCTCCGCAGGTGCACCGAGAATATGTGACAGTTCCCTTTTCATTCCTACCATATAGGAGGGGAGGAGAGTATGTCAGGAGAGGTTCCTGAAGGGTTAATGGCAATGTGTTTGCTGAGGATATTTAAACCTTCCATTTAAAGCTGATCTTGAAATTATAAAACTCCTTCTCCATCCAAGAAATGAAATTGCACTTTTCTGGCCTAAGGCCAGCGTCTCTGAACTGAATGTAAACAAGGAATATTGCAAGAGGGCCTTCCAGTGAAACGAAATTAAATTGGCTTGGTCGTAAGTGTTGTTTACATTCTCAATTTCCAATCGCTCTGCCCTCTCTTTCTGCTACACATTTAATTTTTCTGCTTTTGGACTAAAATAGTTTAGTAAAGCAGACCAGTGAGCGGAATGACCGACTCAAGATAAGTTGACACGAGTGAAGTCACATGGGACGTAGGATGTTTCCGTGAGCTTAACTATGTTGTTAACAAGCTGAAAGAATATGTGCTTTTAGGGAGTTTCTTGTCACCCGTCTCTTAGGAGCCATTGGCTGGGATGGTTCCAGTGGTACCCTCTGCATGAGAGTCAGCGCGTAAACGATGGAAAGGGAGGCCGGGCACCGGAGTTATTTGAATCTGCTAAAGCGCTAAGTTCCTACTTGAGTCAGCAAGAAGTTCTTGCTGCCTCTACGAAAAATTAATGAAACTTCTGCAGGATTGAGAACCTTCTGTGTTTAAAAAGGAGAAATATATATATATATATATATATATATATATATACACACACACACTAGTATACGTA